TATATAGTTAAAACTGTTATTTTAAATTGTAATAATATTTCACAATATTATTGTTTTTACAGTTTTTGATCAAATAAATTCAGCCTTGGTGAGCATGAGATTTTTAAATACATAGAAAAATCTTACCAGTCCTACATTTTTGAACAAAAAAACCTTTGAAATAGTGTATTTTTGACTGTAAAAAGCTGTGTCTCAAAACATTCTGATCTGGACATAATTTTTTGGGCAACATACATGCATTCAGAAGTTCACGAGACAGCTCACTAGATTTTAAGATTACTTTTTGCTTCTTGCCTCAACAGAGGGCCAACAAAGGGTCAAAGGTCATGGAGAGGCTGAAAAAGAAGCTGTCGGAACAGGAATCGCTACTGCTGCTGAACTCTCCTAACATGCCCCTCAGAGTACACAACCGCAATGGAAAGGTAAGAGCCAGTGATTCACAGCCTTTCTGTCGTATCTGATTTTCTCTTCAACATTCCTGCTCATGCTCACAGTCCATGTCGGTTATGCATTTCAGAGCTACATGTTTCTGATCTCATCGGACTACGAGCGTGCCGAGTGGAAGGAAGTGATCCGAGAACAGCAAAAGAAATGTAAGTGGCATTGTCACAGAAATCAGCAGTAGATCAGGTATTTTTGTTATTTTTAATGCTTGCTTATTTTTCAGGCTTTAAGACCTTCAGCCTGACGTCCATGGAGCTTCAGATGCTCACCAATTCATGTGTCAAACTCCAGACGGTCCATCAATTACCCCTCACTGTCAATAAAGACGGTAAGAAAGTTGCACAGGTCTTACAGATAATATGAAATCAAAACTGTTTACAATCTTATCAGATTGTCCTGGATTTCTTGTGTATGATTCTTCAGGTTAAATCAAATAATATTTGTCCACATCTTAAAATAACCGTTTCTTTTCAATAATGTCATGTTTTATTCATAGCAATCTAATCAAATTACAGAATTTTTTTTAAATTTAATAATAGTTTTTAATGACCTTTTTTATTATTATTGTGATTCTGTTGTATTTTATTTCTATATATATATATATTTATTCTAGATATGTTTTGAACCATTTTCTCTACTTTTTTCTTCACTTACAGAGGATGAATCTACTGGACTGTACGGATTCTTGAATGTAATTGTCCATTCTGCCTCTGGACTTAAACAGAGCTTAAGTATGTGTCTCTTTCCTTCTTCCTCTCTGTGCTCATCAAAGGTCATGTACACATTTGCTTAGCCTGTCCTAACACCATGTAAAGAGCCAGTATCTTACAGATCCTCTTACCGCTTCCTCTCTTTAGATCTGTATTGCACATTAGAGGTGGACTCCTTCGGCATCTTTGTGAATAAAGCCAAAACAAGAGTGTACAGATACACCACAGAACCCAAGTGGAATGAGGTAATCCCACATGCCTGTCCCTGTCTATACACCATCGATGCCAAAAGACCTGCCTGCTGAAATGCTCTTGAGGCATTCAATCTTAATTAAGAGCAGCAGAAGCGAGGCCATGTGGAATATGAAGACCTTATGGACAAATTATATTAAATTTTAATTAAGAGCAATTACCATCCCCAAAAGTAAAGGGGAGAAAATTAGGAAATGAGGCATGGCAGGTGCTAAGTCTGATCAAAAGTATTCTTAGACTGTTTTGTGAAGTAAAATCAGAAGTTTTTTGGGGCAGTCTCTGTGTTTTATTATTAATAATAATGTTGTTGTTGTTGTTGTTATTATTCTTTTTATTTATTTACTTTAAAGTATTTTCCCAAAAAGATGTTCTCAAGGTAGCTATGTATATATTTCTTATGTGTATGTATTGTATATATTCTGGGTAATGTTGTTTCTTTTGTATTGTTTCTGCCTCAGGAGTTTGAGATCGAGTTGGAGGGCTCCCAGACATTACGTCTACTGTGTTACGAGAAGTGCTACAACAAAGCGAAGATGAACAAGGAGGATGGAGAAAGCACGGACAGAATTATGGGCAAAGGACAAATTGCGGTATGATCTTCACTGCTTAAAAACTGTAACAAATTTGGTTGACAAAAGTGTTATTTTGGTATTAATATTAATATTCTGAAATAGCTTTTTTTATAGTTCATTGTATTTTTACAACCCTCTACGGACACCTTGGCAATTGAAACGCCATTGGCTAGCGTTCACATGTAGCGCATCAATTCTGCATATTATGTAAGATAATCGCTCGCTCTCGTTCTTTGCGCGTGTGAGAGAAAGCGACAGCGAGTCGTGCGCCTTCACACTAGAGTTTACGTTACGTCAAATACACAAACACAAGTGCGCTGCGCATCCATTCAAATGAACTGAAAAATATCACAGATCGCTTGACGGAGTGTGAAACTCTGAAGCGCTCAGTCAGAGTGTTCTGTGAGTGAAAATATATCTGTGCTAATCATATACTCAGCATCCAACTCACACACTGGCGAGTAAAATCTGAGAATTTATTAGCCATTGGCTAATATTAGACATAATTTAGTCGCCCAGAGTGAAGATTTAGTCGCATATGCGAGTGATTTACTCGCAATGTAGAGGGTTGTTTTAGTTTAGGTTTTATGAATTTTATGTGCTTTTGTCACTTTTATTAATTTTTCTTATCTTTAGATTTATTTTAGTTTTAGTAATTATAGTACTTCAACTTCAACTTTCATTTTAATAAAGGCAACATTTTTAATTTTCGTTTAAGTTTTTCATCTAGTATTTATATTTTATTTCAGCCTTACTGCAATTAGCGAAAACAGTTTTTAACAGTTTTAGTTTTAATTAACAATAACGCCATTGGTTGTTACCGTGTTGACTAGACTTTAAACTAGGCTATTTATACCAGACTTGCTAATGATTCACAACCCACTTACTAGTCGTTTTTACAAATCCCTACAGGTTAACAGGTTGTAAGCATGAATTTGCTTGGCTCTCATGTGAGCTAAGTGTCATTCTCCATCTGGGCCCTCAATGAATCCGGTCAAAGGTATATCTGCTCTTATGAGAGACCCGGTCCCAGATGGGGACTGGCCTTTATACTCCAGACATTTAATCTGCTTTTTAATAGGTAGGGTCTTATTCACTCTGCCCTGGCTTTTTAGGCATCAAATCATCCATAATTCATGTGTCCTGTCTGAAAATGTCACACTCAAAACAACATCAGATCAGCTGACCTATCAGTCCCCTCCCCAGAGAGGTTTGTGGGGTCATACAAACAGCACAAAATTCTCCTGCCTCACAAATGATTGCTTGTAAAGTCTAGGTTTGGATGCTGTTGGTTTCAAAGCATCGGCTGGTGTATCATGGGGGAAGGAGGAGGGATTTGAGGGCTGTGATATGATCCCTCTGTAGCCCCCCATCAGCCAGCTGTGACTTTGGGAAACTCTGCTCTAGTCCCTAAGTCATAAAATGCGTTTTTGTAGGGATCATCTTTCTTTTGTGTATTTAAGTAATGTGGTCTTTGTAAAATCAAATATTTTTATTCTTAAACATTGATGATTTATTGCTTTGCTGTTTGGTTTTTTGTTCTCCTTATACCCAAGAGCACTTTGCAGTGGTCTACCAACAAATAAACATTGAAAATAAAGCTGGACTGCTCTATAGATTTGTGCCATTGGAAATATAATAGGTAGATTTAAAGACATAATATGAAAGTGTTTTTTTTATTATAATTTTTTTTTTTTTTTAGTTCAATTTTATTTTCGATTTTCAATTATTTTCAGTTAAGTTATAGTTAATTTCGTTATTTAGTTTTCATTTTAAACTGTTGTTTTTAATTTATTAGTTAATTTAGTTTTATATTTTCATTTTAGAATTTTTGGGCTCATAATGTGTTAACTAATATTATTTAAATGCATTAAACGCTGTTACATTTCTTATAGGCATTGTATATCACTACATAGTGCCATTTTTTCATGTTTAATGTTTATAATTTATTAAATTCAGGGTCTAAAACTAAAATTAAGATATTTTTAAAGCATGGAAAATTAATTAAATTTATTTTTAAATTATGTTAGCTATTTCAGTTTTTTTTTATTTATTTTTTTATACATTTTTGTAAAGGATAACAATACTGCATGGCAGCAGAATAAACCTTTAAGAGATGCTCTGATTGGTGCACTGGATGTTAGTGGCTGTAGATGGGTGCATGGGTTGGGGCAGAGCAGCTTACTCTGAGGTAAGTCAAGGGATCATCTATTACGAGCTGGAGGTGCAGAAAGAGAAAGTTATGCAGATTTACAAAAAGAAACAGTGTCGAGACGGTAAAGAAGGAAATAAGAGCAAAATAGATATTTAAGTGAACAGCAACAGATTTTGGGACTCTTAGAGAATCTGGATGAATCATCAATGTCAGCATTTGCAGTGCACAGAGTAATTGGATCTCTGTAGCTTGCCACCAGACCAATGATTTATTATTGTTAAAAGAGCTACTTAAACACATCATTTGTTACTGAAGACCCTCTGAATTATTTGAATTGAAGACATCTGGAGCAGCCATAGATCTTTTTAGAACATTATATAACCCTAAGGATCTACAAGATCCATATCACACCACATCCTAAGGGATTTCCAATTCCAGCCAAAGATTTCTGCTCAGGTTTTGCACAGTCGTATACTGTATAGGAAGGAGATGAGTGACGATGAGGTGGTAGGACTGGATGAGGAGGGCAGGAGCTGCTCTCCACCCATCGAAGACTGTGATGTGGGGCCTGTGGAGGCTGTTTCTGTAGACATTTCCACGCAAACTGCTCCGGCAGGCAAAGGAACAAGGTTATGGGGCTGTGTACAAAATGTTTTGCACAGAAGAAAGGTAAAGTACAGAAAAAAAATTCCAGTGTATTCCAGTGTGACATGCATTTTCTCTTTATTTATATATAATATTTATTTATCATAACTATTATTTACAATGCTTGCCACTCATGTCAGTATTCTACTTCACGTTGAGATGTTGCATATAAACATTTTTGAGACCATATTGAGATTAGGCCAGGATGAGGGAAAGGAACACGCTGAATTTGGCCCACTCCAGATGGCCCCACGTTTGCTTAGAGGGGTCAGAGAAATTGGCTGGTGATGTGCAAAACTGCTGTATAAGGAGAAGTGGCAGTATGAAAAATGTTCACATCACTCCAAGCCCTTCATAACATCTGTGGTGTTTATAACGGATGTGTAGCCAATCCAAAAGCCCTCTAGATCTCAGAAAAGACAAATGTTCTGTGTCTGTGTTGGAAATCCCATTGTATTTTATGTTTCTTTTTCTGTTTTTTATCCAGTTGGATCCTCAGATGCTCCAGGGTAAAGACTGGCAGAGAACAGTCATCCCTATGAATGGGGTAAGTATATTCACATCTGCTCCTCTTCTGTAATCCTACCATCTAACACTCTAATTACTAATTTTTCTGAAGATTGAGGTGAAGATATCCATGAAGTTCACCAGCCGGGAGTTCAGCCTGAAGAGAATGTCCTCACGGAAGCCCATGGGTGTGTTTGGAGTAAATATCTCCACAGTGACAAAGTGAGTCAGAACACATTTTATATGAGAACAGACGCACCCAGAAAATTATTTGGTCTTTTTTTACAAAAAGACGCATTTTGACACTAAGTTATCATGATTTTTCAGGCATTCATTGTGTCAAAAAAATTAGAATATTCAGTATAGAAAATTATAGGCTTCATAGAATTCTGCCCTTTCTTGTGCAGTGTTTGTGGTCGGATTTGATTGACAGTAATGAGGATTGCCTGTAACAAGCTTCCTAATGGGTTTAAGGGCAGAACCAATTAATGCTATAAAGACAACATGACAACACCAGTACAGATGCTCAGACACAAACATGTGCATCAAAGGTCTCTACATTAGCAGCACCTACTGCTGATTAATGTATATGTAAAGGCATTATTCTGCTTAACCTCGTTTTCATACAATGAATATATACAGTGAACACAGGCTGTCAATTTCGAAAAGCACATAGACCCAACTTGTCTGAGGCTGCATGATAGCTTTATTTGAGAAACAGTCACAGTTATACAAATTTAAGCCATACTTTTCAAATCTTATTTGCATATACACTATTGTTAATATTTTTAAATAAATTATTACTTTTATTCAAGAAAGATGCATTAAATTAATTTTAAAAAATGACAGCAAAGAGATTTATTTTAGAAACTTTTTCTGTTTCAAATAAATGCTGTTCTTTTGAACTTTTTATTCATCAAGGAATCCTGAAAAATGTATCTTGGTTTCCACAAAAATATTAAGCAGAAATAAGAAATGTTTCTTGAGCACCTAATCAGCATATTAGAATGATTTCTGAAGGATCATGTGACACTGAAGGCTGAAAATGCAGTTTTGCCATCACAGGAATAAATAACATTTTAAAATATTTGAAAATAAAAAACTATTTTTACCATATTACTGTTTTTACTGTATTTTTCATCAAATAAATGCAGCCTTGTTGAGCATAATGGTAGCGTTATGTATTTAACAGTAACACATCTAATATTTTTAATATATGCGAACACAAATAGTAATGGTAGCTTTAAGATCAAAATTAAATGCTTAAAATTATAAATTTGACATTTTTTGTTTGTATATCCCATTTTTGCTGAATATAAGTTAAAAAAATTTTAGTCATTTTTTGTGTTTATTGAATCAAATGGCTGGTTTCGTGATGTTGGTATTATTTCTTGTCTCAGACGGGAACGCTCTAAAGTGCCCTACATCGTCAGACAGTGTCTAGAGGAAATTGAGAGAAGAGGAATGGAGGAAGTGGGCATCTACCGTGTCTCAGGAGTGGCCACTGACATCCAGGGACTGAAGACTGCCTTTGACACCAGTGAGTGTCCATCAAACTTGTTTTTTTTTGTGTGTTTTTTTTACATAAGACTTATGACAGACACATCCAGTCAGCCAGTTTAGTTGCTTATCTCTCTCTGTCTCTCTGTAACAGATAATAAAGACGTGTCAGTAATGATGAGTGAGATGGATGTGAACGCCATTGCCGGAACGCTCAAGCTGTACTTCAGGGAGCTCCCTGAGCCCCTGTTCACTGACGAGCTCTACCCTAACTTTGCAGGAGGCATTGGTGCGTCAGTTGTTTTTACTTGGAAAAAAAAGTATTGAGCAGGCTTGGCTTTGTGAAGGTATAACTATGTTGATTATGTCCTCAGCTCTTTCAGACAGCGTAGCTAAGGAGAGCTGTATGCTGAACCTCCTGCTGTCTCTACCAGAGCCCAACCTAGTCACCTTCCTCTTCCTGCTGGATCATCTCAAGAGGTTGACAAGATGCTGATGACTTTGACATTGTTCTAAGAAGCTTAACAACAAGAAAGATATATAACTGGGTCAAAATCCATTGTTTCTGGAACATTCATATGAAGAAATCAAGGGTTAGGGTTAAGGCTATGATTGGCTGATAGAAATGTTGTTCCTGAAACATGAACTGCGTCCCAAATGACGCACTATACACTGTGCACTTATACACTATGTACTTATGCACTATGTACTCAACCATGTAGTGTATGAATTTTATAAGGTTATTTTGTCATTAATAATCAGAGTCTGATAGCCCCTCCCTCTTCGTGACGTAATTAAAGCTGCGACAGTTGAGTGCATGAAGTGTCCAACATTCCACACTTCATTTTTTCGGTTATCATCCAGGTATTTAAAGTGCACTTTTTCTTTTTGGAATTTTCAGTGTTCAATTTCGAAAAGCACATAGACCCAACTTGTCTGAGGCTGCATGATAGCTTTATTTGAGAAACAGTCACAGTTATACAAATTTAAGCCATACTTTTCAAATCTTATTTGCATATACACTATTGTTAATATTTTTAAATAAATTATTACTTTTATTCAAGAAAGATGCATTAAATTAATTTTAAAAAATGACAGCAAAGAGATTTATTTTAGAAACTTTTTCTGTTTCAAATAAATGCTGTTCTTTTGAACTTTTTATTCATCAAGGAATCCTGAAAAATGTATCTTGGTTTCCACAAAAATATTAAGCAGAAATAAGAAATGTTTCTTGAGCACCTAATCAGCATATTAGAATGATTTCTGAAGGATCATGTGACACTGAAGGCTGAAAATGCAGTTTTGCCATCACAGGAATAAATAACATTTTAAAATATTTGAAAATAAAAAACTATTTTTACCATATTACTGTTTTTACTGTATTTTTCATCAAATAAATGCAGCCTTGTTGAGCATAATGGTAGCGTTATGTATTTAACAGTAACACATCTAATATTTTTAATATATGCGAACACAAATAGTAATGGTAGCTTTAAGATCAAAATTAAATGCTTAAAATTATAAATTTGACATTTTTTGTTTGTATATCCCATTTTTGCTGAATATAAGTTAAAAAAATTTTAGTCATTTTTTGTGTTTATTGAATCAAATGGCTGGTTTCGTGATGTTGGTATTATTTCTTGTCTCAGACGGGAACGCTCTAAAGTGCCCTACATCGTCAGACAGTGTCTAGAGGAGATCGAGAGAAGAGGAATGGAGGAAGTGGGCATCTACCGTGTCTCAGGAGTGGCCACTGACATCCAGGGACTGAAGACTGCCTTTGACACCAGTGAGTGTCCATCAAACTTGTTTTTTTTTGTGTGTTTTTTTTACATAAGACTTATGACAGACACATCCAGTCAGCCAGTTTAGTTGCTTATCTCTCTCTGTCTCTCTGTAACAGATAATAAAGACGTGTCAGTAATGATGAGTGAGATGGATGTGAACGCCATTGCCGGAACGCTCAAGCTGTACTTCAGGGAGCTCCCTGAGCCCCTGTTCACTGACGAGCTCTACCCTAACTTTGCAGGAGGCATTGGTGCGTCAGTTGTTTTTACTTGGAAAAAAAAGTATTGAGCAGGCTTGGCTTTGTGAAGGTATAACTATGTTGATTATGTCCTCAGCTCTTTCAGACAGCGTAGCTAAGGAGAGCTGTATGCTGAACCTCCTGCTGTCTCTACCAGAGCCCAACCTAGTCACCTTCCTCTTCCTGCTGGATCATCTCAAGAGGTTGACAAGATGCTGATGACTTTGACATTGTTCTAAGAAGCTTAACAACAAGAAAGATATATAACTGGGTCAAAATCCATTGTTTCTGGAACATTCATATGAAGAAATCAAGGGTTAGGGTTAAGGCTATGATTGGCTGATAGAAATGTTGTTCCTGAAACATGAACTGCGTCCCAAATGACGCACTATACACTGTGCACTTATACACTATGTACTTATGCACTATGTACTCAACCATGTAGTGTATGAATTTTATAAGGTTATTTTGTCATTAATAATCAGAGTCTGATAGCCCCTCCCTCTTCGTGACGTAATTAAAGCTGCGACAGTTGAGTGCATGAAGTGTCCAACATTCCACACTTCATTTTTTCGGTTATCATCCAGGTATTTAAAGTGCACTTTTTCTTTTTAGAATTTTCAGTGTGAACGCACTACTCGCACTATTTCTACTAAAAAATGTGCTGCTGGCATCATGATCAAAAAGTTTAGTTGGGTGAATCTTACCATCAACACATTTCAGTTTTCACCCCCATTTAAAAAAAAAAACAGACTACAGTATATTATAAGAAAATATAGCTTGCATTAAGAAATATTAAGCTTAATAAAAACATTACCCCTCAAATAAAAAAAACAACAAAAAAAAACATTCTCATTTCTGTATAACATCCTGTCTGGGCACATTTATTAATTTATTTTATTTTTTCATTCGCTACAACAAGTGCCACCAAATTGTAAAAATATATATTTTTAAATAATATAGTAATATTTTATTATTATTATTATTATTATTATTTGAATATTTTTTTAATTGGAGGGAGAAAAATTTAATTAATTGTAATTATTTTAAGTTTTGTAATAGCAAACTTGATGCATTCATACTCTGATAATCTTTATTTCCTGCTCTTTCTCTTTTTGTTTCTAGGGTTGCAGAAAAGGAGAGTGTAAACAAGATGTCTCTTCACAATCTGGCCACCGTGTTTGGCCCGACCCTGCTACGACCTGCTGAGAAGGACAGCAAAATCCCCACTAACCCCACGCAGCCTATCACGATGGGGGACAGCTGGTCACTGGAAGTCATGTCACAGGTACACGATAAAACCACAATTAACCGACTATTTACAATTTAAGGACTGTGGACATGATACCAAGCACCATTGAAAATCACTTAAATGTGTCTGTGTGTTGTAAAAACAATGGAAAACACATTTACAGTAATGCACTTATGTTTTATCCATTACGCGTCTCCTGTTAGGTGCATAATTCTGTCTCCTTTGCATCTGTAGGTGCAAGTTTTGCTGTATTTCCTTCAGCTGGAGACCATCCCGACGCCAGACAGTAAGAGACAGAGTATCCTGTTTTCCACAGAGGTCTAAAGGAGTTCTTATTCCTATTGTAAGTCTCAAACCAAGCGAGCATGTCCACCCACTGGGTATAACGGACACTGGAATGCACAAGAGCAATTCCTCCTGGGCAAAAGCAGGAGTGCTTCGCCTTTCGCGCATTTTCTAGCATTTCGTAGCCATTTTAAACGTTAAAGAACTGGACTTGCTCGGAGCACATCTTGAATATTACTGAACCCTCTGCCTATTTTCCTGTGAACATCAGTGTCCCTTCAGCACCTTCGCTCTCTTCTTTTTCATGACTCAGACCCTGAGCATGATCTTGCGTCCTGTACGTGGGCCTCTACTGGTCAATCATGTCGGCTGGTGACAGTGAATTCTGTCTCTTCTGTCTTTTTGTGTTTGTCCTCATTTCACCTGTCCCCACTGGCCACTGATGCTCTTTCTGTGCTGCTACAATTCAGTATCCAGCTCCAAACCGTTCCAGATTTTGGATCCTTTTATACAATAGATAATTACATGGCAGTTCAACGTAGTTCTTATTGCAGACTCTTAAAAGTCAAATGAATAGCTTCTGTTAGTGTATGTCAGTCATTACAAGAGCTTAATTTAATAGGATTTCTGTGTAGAAGATGGTGTTTGGTTCAGTTATTGTCAGTGTTGATGTGATTCTAAGTTAAGAAAACAAACATAAAATGAGAAAAATCTCGCTGTTGTTTAATTTTCCTCTTTTTTTTGGCCCATACCTCTCTATCAAGCAATATTTAAGCATTCATGAGTGTGTTTGAAAACATGATACATGTTTCATTATGCTTTCGTAGTTGAGATTTTGGGAGAGAGAAGTACATTACCAAAAGGGTCAATATATTTTTCTTCATTCTGATTTTTTTTATGTAATACATATAGAAGAATTATTATTTATTTGGGGACAGATATCAACATCAGTGTCTTTTTTAAAGTACGTCTACGTTTATCCGTGTTATGAAGTACTGTAGATTCCTTACATATCCTCTTCATTTTCCTGTCTTTTTGAATCTGTGTAAATGCTCAGAGGATAGCACACAACATTAGCGTTTCCCCTGCCGTATATCTAGTGTTGAGAGATGACCAAACTGAGAGGTTTTTAACTCTACCCTGTCGTTCACATTCGCTCTCTCTCTAGCTTCACAGCACACTGTGGTTTATGTCTCACTGAGAACCATACAGCAGTGCCTCTCTGTCACATTGTAAGACATTTAGGTTAAAAAACAACAACGCTGTATATAGCACAATCTGTTATCCTTGAATACTGTCAGATTGTTTAATGAAGGAAGGGTTAATAATGGATGCAGTACAGGTATTCTGTGTTAATTATATTAGTAAAAATGAATGCTCTTAAGTTTATTATTTCAGTTAAAGGTGCTTTAGTTACTTTATTTAACATGCAGGCATGTTTTTTAGATTTAAAAGTGTTTTTTAAGTTTGATAAGTGTTGTGCGTTTGAGTTGTAACGTTAAACCAAATTCTGGCTACTGTAGAAGGGTTTTTTGAAGACTTTATCATGCATACAGAAAGGGGTGCAGCAACTGAAAAGGAATTTCTGTTAATCCACCATGTGAAGTCTTTTGTTTTTTCGTTTACGTGTGCAGTAAAGGTGCGTCTGAGACTTTTCATCTTGTCTGTCCTCTTTCTTGATTGTCGGCACTAAATGTACATTTCCTGTATCTTGCACCTGTCCGAACTGAAGTCAGTATCACATGTGGGTTTCTTCTAGAGATATGCCCGCTTTTGTTTTTGTAATATGTAACTCTTGACATAAATTAAACTGTGATCTATTGCTATCCGAAGGCATTAGGTGATTCAACAAAGCATTCCCGATGTGTTAATTGCTTATTTAATGTGCTTTTTATAGATTGTTGAATGTTACTGGGTTAGGAATATTGGACATATGCTCCGGTTCAATGGGAGTGACACAGCGCATGATGTTTGAGAAGCGATTTCTTTGCACTGCACATAGTTTAAAGACTAATCTGATGAAATTTCTTATAAACGTAATGAGATTGTATCACACACAGTGAGAAACGTCTACAAACCAATTAATGAAAACATGCATTATGACATTATAATCTCCAGATTTATTTGTATTCACAAAGTATTACAGTTTTGAATTGATTGGTCATGAAAGCACTGCAAGGGTCCATCTGTGTCATCCATTATAATGTTATGAGGATTTATGTTGAAACCTTGCCTTTAAACACATGAAGACATGCTGGACAGCCACTGGGACAGGCTGTGGATGCCCTTCCCTTTTCCTCTTAAGGTTTTTGTCACTATTTATTCTTGCTAATATCTTAATGTTCTGGTTATAGGACTGTACAAATAGATTAATGAATTCTGCAGACTGAAACGTTTGGAAGGCATTTGCGGCCTATGTTTATACACAAAATGTTGAATAAAACCTCCTGTATATGAATACCTGCTGTTTCATGCTGTTTTTTCTAAAACTATTTGATTGTATTACACAGTGAGAAAAATATTTCACATATTCTGGATACAACAGTAGTTTGATTTAATATTTTTGTTAATTTATTTACGTTTTGTGCATGTTTATTGAAGAACATGTCTTGAAACGCTGTATTACACAATTGTAATGTATCTATCTATGTGTCCACATGGGGGCAGCACGGCCTTGCTCCATGTTGTTTATTTATTTTATTTATTTAATGTATGATATATTATAATTTGTTTATAATTTTTGGGGGGAAAACCCCGCTTAATACGTGACTGAAATAGCTGTCTTGAGAAATAACAATCGACCAATAGCAGACGAGGGGCAGAGAGGTAATCTGGACATCGTTCATTCTGCTCATTTGACGTACAGCTTTTTGCATACAATATAGAGAAGAAACACGTACGTTTCGGCAACAATAGTCAATTTCTACCTCTCCCTTTTCTCCAGTTTCTTCCTCTTTTTTGTATTTAGCCTTTATTGTATATTTCTCGTGATATTTACCTCAATGACGGTTTTTAAAAAAAGTATATAACGTCGTTTTCATCGATGTTTACATGCTAAATGTTGTCTAATATAGCACTGTTCAGTATAGTTAAAGTAAAAACACTTTTTCAGATCACATGACTATTCCAAAACACTATAAAATTATATTAAATGTACCCTGTAACACTGCAAATGCAAGAAAACTGATGTTGATATAACAAGGATATGATTATATATTATTTGAATTATTTTCCCATTTCTGTAACTCTTTTCTGTATTTCGTTACAGAGAGCATTCTTCCTTATTTAAAAGAATTCATCAATATGTCATGATGACATCAGGAAAGACGGCAGCTTCCTTTGAGTAAGTAATAGATTTATTTTTGGTGCTTTATGTCTAGTCCTTTGCTTTTGCAGAGGCCACACAGTCCTCCTGTGGTCCGATAAGAAGCTCTGTTTCCTGTTCATAATATGAGACTCTGAGCTTTGAGGAACAGGAGGGATGGACTGAGTTAAAATACAGACTGACATTCTGTCATAGAGCTGTTATGGGAGAGAGTGAGAAGGAGAGTGTGGTGTTGTCTGTTTGTCTCTGATTACTTGTGGCCACAGTTCTATCTCTCTCCTCCGGCTGTCGCTCCTCCCTCAGCAGGCCATGAAAGCTCTGACCGTTACAGGGTGGATGGGGTCAGATAAGACTATCCCGCTCCCATCACGGCCCTGCCTGCTCCGAGAGGCCTGCCCTGCTCCCTTCAGATTTCACCAACTCTTGATCTGTTCCTCCTCTCCCACTTCATTTCCATGTTTGCTGACTTCACATGTGTTTTTTTTGTTTGCTCATTCTGTCGCCTCATCTTGCAGGCCTGTTTGTTGATCCTTGTTGTGTCTAGAGTCAGTTTTGCTCTTGGCTGGTCACCAAACTTGTTCAAATCCACCCACCCTTCATGTCTGGTATCTGTCAATCACTCAGTATCACTAGTTTGCCATTACTGCATGTGACCCGATGCATGTTTCCTGCGTCCACAGTAAGACAGATATACTCCCTTAATCTTGTGAGGGAACTTTTGTATTGAGCCGTGTGTTGTTAAAAAAAAAAAAGGTTTTAATGTGCAAATGTTGTGATTTATGTTGAAATGCTTTTTTTCTGCATATTATCTATTAATTTATTCAGAAATACATGAAAAATGCTATTCATACAAGGATTTGAATATATTTGAATTATTAATTAAATATTTTTATAATAAATTAAAAAACAAGAAGGTAGAATAAAAAAATAGTGAATGCTAGTGTTAGAGGGACTTTTTAAAATAAAAATAAGACAAGTCAAAAGAATAGAAAAAGAATAGAGAATGCTAGTGTTAGAGGGTCTTTTTTAATAATAAGTAAAAAAAAAAACAAGTAGTTTGAATAGAAATAGAACTGAGAGTGCAAGTGTTAGAGGGTCAAATTTTTTTAAATAAAAATTTTAATTATATTTAATATTAATTTATAATTCTATTAATATTTTATTGTATTCAAATTGTGACATGATTTCTCCAAAAAGTAATATTTCTAAATGAGTAAGTCTTTATATATGAAAAATACATAAATATTTTATTTGAATATTTTCATTTAAATTACATTTTAATATTTATTTTCATATTAAATTAGATATTTTGTCCTTTTTATGATTAGGGAAGGTTAGATCAATTTGTAAAATGTCATGTGGTGCAACTTTGTATAGTTTGTTTCTATACTTGTAGTAAT